GTAGAGAGCTGAATTGGAAGTGGAGCAGCCTGGACTGGAACTGGCGCCCACCACTGCAGGTGGTGACTTTATCTGCTATGCCACAGCATCGCTGCCAACACCACCCCCCGCCTCCCCACCCCCCATCCCACCCCCCTGCTTTTCAAGCTGAACTTTTCAAAAGAAAACCACTTTGTGGAGCCCACCATTTTGGTAAGTGTGTTGTGCTATCTCGTGGAGACTTTCATTTGTATTTTTAGTTAATGAAGTTGAAAAATAATGAATGAATTTGAATGACTTTTTGTAAGTTTATGGCCATTTGGATTTCTTTGTTGAAATATCTGTTCAGATTTCTTGTCCTTTATTCTGCCAAGTTGTTTGACTTATTAATTTTAATTAATTTATAGAAATTCTTTATATTGAGAGTGAAAGGCCCATTATAGATGCCTTGATATTTTCTTTGCCTGGTTTTAAAGTTTCCTTGCGTCTAAGTGTTTATTTTTTTTTAACTTTTATTTAATAAATATAAATTTCCAAAGTACAGCTTATGGATTACAATGGCTTCCCCCCCACCATAACTTCCCTCCCACCCACAACCCTCCCATCTCCCCTTAAGTGTTTAGTTTTTAGCAATTTAATATACTCTGCCTAATTGTGAATATCTTTTCATTAGTCTTAGTGTGAACTCTCAAGTCTGTGGTTGATATCTATCAGCAGTTTCAAGAACTTTTGTGCTATTTTCAACTATGGTTCCCATCCTATTTTCCATTGCCTTTCCTTTTGGAATTTCAATTAAATCATATTAGACTTTCTCATTGTATCCTCTAGATTTCTTATCCCCTGTTTTGCATTTTTCATTCCTTTCTGTGCCTCTGGAATTTTCTTGATGAATTATTTCTTCATCTTTTCTGCCTTAATGTTTAACGCCTGCCCCCGTTGGGTTGTAGCTTTCAATTACTGTAGTATTTACTTCTAGAACTTCTATTTTCAAGTTGTAGTTCTTTGCCAAAATTTTCAGTTTTGTCTTTCATATTATTGAACATAGGGAACGGTTGTTTTAAAGTCTAAGTGTGATGAAACTTATCTCTACAGAGCCTGTGGATTTGTTTCTATTATTTGGTATTCTTGCAAGTTTTGTTCATGGAGTCTTATTTCTTGTGTGCCTGATTATCTTTTTTAAAGACTTATTTATTTGAAAAGCAGAGTTAAAGAGAGAGAGAGGGAGAGATGGAGACAGAGAGAGAGAGAAAGAGAGAGAGAGATCTCCCAACTGCTGGTTTATTCCCCAAATGGCCTCAACAGCTGCAGCTGGGCCAATCAGAAGCCAGGAGCCAGGAGCTTCTTCCAGGTTTAGGGGCCCAAGGACTCAGGCCATCTTCTGCTGCTTTCCCAGGCACATTAACAGGGAGCTGGATCAGGAGTGGAGCAATCAGGACTTGAACCAGCACCCATATGGGATGTCAGTATCGCACTACGCCACGATGCTGACCCCATGCCTAGTTATTTGTTATTATGCTCTGGGTATCATATTGCAAATCACTCATAGAAATGCTTGAGGCTCCAGATATTATCTCCTTCCAGAGAGAATTTATATTTGGTTCTGCTGGGTGCATGAGGGGCACTAACAATTTCAGATCACCTCAGTTCTATTTTAGGATTTAGAATGGCATGGCATAGAGCCATAGCCCCTGTATGGTATGCCTCTGAGTTGCAAGCCAAGAGAATGCATCAAAGCATTCCTACCCTTGTGATGGTCTCTGGGCTCCCAGTTTCCCTTTCTTTGCTGCACAAGACTTCCAGAAGCGTTTTTCAGCCAATAAGTCACCATTATGGAATTAACAAGGAAAAGCAGCCTTCACTTCCAGGCTCACCTGTCAGGGTTCTGTCATCTTTCAATTCTAGAGCAGTAATTTTACTCTGTAATTTTACCTTTCCAAGACATCAAGAAGATGTTTCATGTTTTCAGTACCATGGTTGGTTCTAATGATCTAGTTTGTCAATATCAAAATCATGTCTTCCATCTCTACCACTCTAGTTATGCATATGCATATATATTTCATTTTCTTTGTTTTTTTTAAAGATTTATTTATTTATTTGAAAGTCAGAGTTGCACAGAGAGAGAAGAAGAGGCAGAGAGACAGAGAGATCTTCCATCTGCTGGTTCACTCCCCAATTGGCCACAACGGCCTGAGCTGTGCCGATCTGAAGCCAGGAGCCAGAAGCTTCTTCTGGGTCTCCCACGCAAGTTCAGGGGCCCAAGGATTTGGGCCATCTTCTACTGCTTTCCTAGGTCATAGCAGAGAACTGGACCAGAACTGGAGCAGCTGAGACTTGAACTGGCGCCCTTATGGGATGCTGGCACTGCAGGCGATGGCTTTACTCACTACGCCACAGCGCCAGCTCCACTTCCCTTTGTTCTACATGATAAACCTGTAGGTTACTTGAGTACCATGATGTACCAAGCAAAAATTTTAAGTGGATGATCTTCATTTTCTGGGTCTCACTTCTTCGAATTTTGTCTGTCGGTCCATTCAGCATTCATTCCTGGATTCAGATGTCTCTGTTTCTAACAACTCCTACCCTCAAGATGGGATGCTATTTTTCAGTGTCCCTCCGCCCCTTCTTTTTCCTCAAAGTAACCAAATACTCTTTCTCTGTTATAGACTTTCCTGATCAGCCTAGCTCAACATGACCTTTTTCTTTTCCGAATTTCTTTGTCAGTCTGGTGGTAACACATGTTGAACTGCTAAAATGATATATGTGAACTCATTCTTTAATGCGTTTTTGTGTCTGTAGATTATAATTGTGTTCTTCAAAATGTTCTCAACATCTACCCCTGTAAATAGTAGGTGCTCAAAACATACAGTTATAGGGCATCTCAGGTCTCTCCTCCAAAAATTGTGCCTTGCACCAGCCTTCATACCACATAACGTGACAGCATACATCATTGTATTATATTGCATCACAGGACAGAAAGATGACATTGCCCATCCAGCCTCCAGACTCTGGGAGCCCCTGCTGCAAGCACAGACTCACTCATAAGCCCCATCCTCCTGTTACAAATTATTAGACTACAGTGTGTCCCTGATCCACTCATGAATCAGTTCCTTGGTCAAAAATTTAAATAAAGAGATATGGAGCTTGAAATATAGAGCTTGAAATTGAAGTGCTTCCCTCCTAGCATGTCTGCAGCAAAGCTATGCAGCTTCCATTCAGGAGTCCATGAAGAGGAAGCAAAATTTATGGAGGATGAAGAAACTATGAGTAATCAAATGAAGCTGATCAATAAAGCAGAGATGAGAAAGGAGCAATTATGCAGAGTTGAAGAGGAGAGAGGCCATATGTCTTCTGAGGGTCAACTTTCATTCCCAACAACTTCCCAATGTTTTTCCCTTCCCCCGTTCCACAGGCATTGGTTCCTGTATCTGTGAGTTTAGATACATGTTCTTTATTTCTTTATTTCTGGGACCAAAGAACATAGGCTAGAATAATAATATACCTTCGTAATTATGTCAATTAGAGTTATTTGGGTTGCACACAGCTGAATGCAACTCTTATCTTATACACAAAGGGGACATATTAGAAAGACAAAGGGAACCTGGAACTCACCGAGGGCTGAAGGATCAGTTGGGGGAGGCAGACAGAATGGAGTGACGCCAGAGGACCCAGAAGCAGGAAAGCCAACAACTGCCGTCTAGCAGCACCTGTCTGGCTAGAACTCGTCCATTCTTGCTCCTGGGCACTTTGCACCACCACTGTGGCCACTGCTATCTTTGTGACACAATTCTCTTCATTCCGTTGGCATGTGTTATTTCTCTAAGATGGAAAATGCCAAATAGGAGTGTCTCTCTGGCTTTGCTGGGGTCATATATTGTCACATGTTCTTCTCAAGGCAAGAAGATGACACACCTTCAGGGGCCTGGATGTTGGAGATCCAACAGCAGCAAGACAGTTGATGTATAACTTTCTGGTTGTGATGAATATACTTGACATTCCAGCTTCTGTATAAGACTGATGGGACACAAAGTGATTTGGTGGGGGAAAGAAACAAAGAACTAAATTTGGGACATCTCCTTATATGTGAGATATACAGTAAGCACATGCCTTTTGGGCCCTTCCTGTTTCTTTGTCTTCTTGTTGGAACTTGGATATGATGGCTGGAATCCCAGTAAACCATCTGTGATCTTGAAGATGGAAACCACACAGCAAAGCTGGCTGAGGATAAAGAGCAAAGGATTCCAGATGTTTGATGACGAGGGTAGCATCATATGCATGTACACATTCTTTTACAGGAGCATGCCCTTATGTGTTCAGGTCACTGTGGTCTGGTCTCTGTTCCTTGGCAGCTGAACAGAATTCCTCATAGACACCGCCATGACTACTATTGCCATGGTTGTTGTGTTGGACACCTGCATAAGGCTTTAACAGCCTGGCTACTGTTCCTTGACTTCAGAACACCTGTCACACTCAGTGTTTTCCCAGAAGAGCTGAGAGTGGATTAAAAAAAATGTAAGAACTACAACAAAAAAATCCACCAACATGAAGCAAGTATAGATTTTTCAGAAAGATTTTCACAATGCCCCTGCAGGAACTTGACAGTGCCCAGACATGCTACTCCTGCATGGTCAGGACTATTTGCTAGTGCAAAGACCTGGTCTGTTTGGGAGCCCATTACTTTCATTCATTAATATTCATGACATTGAGTGGAGGTGGAGAATGGGGCATGAAAATCCATAATACAGATCATCATCAAACAATATGGATTTTTGATTTCTAAAAATTTTGTATTAAGATTTGAAAAATACCCTTAAAAATCAAAAGATGACTCTGTGAACTTGGGGCAGCTCAATATCGAGGCCCTTCTTTGAGGCATCCTGCACTACCATTGTTCCAGCTTTTCCTACTTCCTTTTGGCACTTGGCATGGAAACAGACAGCAACTCTCTCACTCTAACCATGCTGTAAGTCAGAGAAGGGCTCTCTTCTTCCTGCTGAGATATCCCTCCCTCTCCTTTTTTTCAGAGGTGAATGCTGGGGTGGAGACAACAACGATGGAAGTATAAGAGATCTGGAAGTGCTGAAGAAGTGACTGAGTCACTATTTGAAGGTATTTGAGTGTTTTGTTTTCTTTTTTCAAACTCTTGCTGGATTGCAAGAGGAATAAACCCAAGTATGTTGACAATATCATGTGGACATGAAATAAGGGAATTAATTAAATGGAGGGGTGATAACAGCAGAGAAAACTTTAAAGGGTGGCTTAGTACAGATTATCCACAAGGAAAGTTGGCAATGTAGGGTATCCCTCGACTGGTAGCAAATATGGTATTAATAAGAAAGTTAACACACACTGCAGAAACTCTCTAATTCCAAAATCTAAACCATAGGGGATGATATTATATCATTTTTCCCAGGTAAGATTTTCTTATTTTTCTCTTCAAAATATGGTTTCAGACTCTCAGAGAGCAAAATATCACAACCATTGAACTCCTCCATTACAGCATCTAGCAGGGATGTGTAGGGAAGAATGGGGTAGCAATGGCTCCATATGGGGGCTTATGGAGACGTCTCTCTGAGAAGCTGGTGTTGGTAATCAGTTATTCCTAAAGGGCAGTGCCTGGTAGGTGTGGAGTCTGGGACCCGGGCCAGGGCGAAGATGGCAGTGAGGAGCCATCTCACCAGAGCAGAGCCAGAGCTGGGCTTTCTGCTGTCCATTCCCTAGCTGCTGCTCACCAGTGTTCAGTGAGAGTTCCCAGCCAGAGAGTAAGTGTCTGTCCTTGCCATTCAGGCATGTCCAGGTGTTTTTGAGAACAGATCTCTGAAAGGCTACTTTCCCAAATAACTGGGGAGCTCTGGGACAATAAGGCCAAGGAATAAGGGACCCAGGCCCAATAAATGTGTCCAATCAGTGAGCCCTTAGGCGCTTGTGGGGAGAAGGAAGAGTAAGGCTTTGTAGGCAGCCAAGAGCAGAGGCACAATCCAAGGGGTGCAGGGCAGGAGGATGTATCGCAGAACATAAGGAAGCTAAGGTGGGGCCACTGGCCATTCACCTGCAGACTGGGACTGCTATCCCGCAACTACTGTCCCAGCAACATCAGCTGCTCCAGTCTCCTCACTCCTGTGCTGTGGCTTCTGCCTTCCTTGTGCCGGCTTCTTAACTCTTCCTTGCTAAGATGCTCCCTGTCTATCAGTTTTGGCCCACTGTGTGGCCCCTGTTCACACATAGCTTCACATCCCATGGATTGTACTTTCTACTTCCCCTCGGAGGTCTCTTTGCTTCTGCCTTCTCTACAGCCTAGTTCAGAGAAGCCCAGGCCAGTGGAGTCCTCAGGTCACTTGGTAGCTTCTTTGAACCTTATCTTACAGCCTGGTCATGTCATGTCATGACTCAGACATCTGAGTTTGCAGGTGAGGCTTTGGTGCGTGTGTCCTACCATTTACTTCATCTACCCTCATAGGTATCCCAGAAAGAAAAGAGGTAAATGGGAAATGAAGTATTATTATTCTTTTTTAAATCAGGCATTGCCACATCTATTGCACAGTGGCAAAAATTGCCCTAGAAACCGTGACTTAAATGAGGCTTCCAAATCCTCTTTCCCTGAATCTATCCACCCATCTCAAGTGCTGAAGTTGGAATAGAGAGAGTAGACAGGCAAGGTCAGCCTGACAGAAGGACAAGGGTTCTGCCACATGGGAAAAGTCCAGCACCATCTGGGAGGCCAGACCCACGTGCTGAACCAGGAAGCAGAAGAAAGGAGATGGAATAGGAGAAGACAAACACTGATCCGAACCATAAAGACACAGTTACCCATCCGCTATTAATTGTGACCCTCTTAGAGCTTCACTTTCTGATGTTGTAGCCCCACTCCCTCATTGGCTGTTAAGAGCTTGAAAATGTGACGAGCCCCATTCGAGATGTCTTGCAAGGGTATAATACAAACCTGATTTCAAAGACTTAGTTCAAAAGAAAAGAAAGCACCTCATTAATATTCTGTACATTGCTTATTCACTTAATGATAATATCTTGTGTATATTGGGTAAAATCTACTATTAAAATTTATGTCAGCTGTTTCTTTTTCCGTTTTTAAAATGCAGTTACTAGGTCATTTAATACTGCATGAGATGGCTCCCACTTCATTTCTGTTGGACAGCATGGTCATCATCCATGTGTGTTAGCTGTCCTGGGAACCGCTGGGGAGGAGAGGCAGGGGCACAAAGGAGAGAGACAGGAGCCATGCTCCTTAGCTGTGATGTTTTTATCAGCTGTGCCCAGGATCACAGGATCACAGGATCACATGGGACCAACATGGTGATCTGTGAGTAAGGAACTCCTATGTCTCCTTCCCTTAGCTGTGGGTCCTGAGCTGGGCAGGCACCTGGGCATCTTGGGCTCTTCTCTGCTGTAATTAAATAGAAGTTATTTTATGTGTTTAGCTATCTAACAGGTACCCAGTGAACTCCTGCTGTGTGCTGGTACTCCACCAGACCATGAGAATAGTGTTGGGTAAACAGGCGACGGGGTGAAGACAGAATACAAAAAGGAAACCCTGCCTCCCTGTGTTCTCAGGTGATAGCACGGAGAAGGAAAGTGAGGCATGGTAAGACTAGAGTGCATGGGGAGGGGGTGGGTGCTACTTCAGAGGCTGGTGACCAAGAGTCCTCTTGCCATTAAGTGGAGGTTTGAAGAAGGTGAGGGGATGAGTCCTTAAGATACTTGGTTAGGGGAGGAGATCAGATCCTGTGGCAGGAGCACAGGTAACCTGTCAAGGAAGGTCAGGAGGACCTGGTGTGAGGAAGGAGAGGTGCACGGGATAAGAGTAGAGAGCTAGCAGAGGCTGGGCTTTGGTCACCGATGGCCCTTGGCCATCTCAGCAGATTAACAGGAAGCCATTGGAGGGGCTTGAGCAGGGATCTCGCTAGGCCTTAACAGGATAAGGAGAGATCACTTGTGGAGAATAAAGTACATACATGAGTCTGGAAGCAGAGAAACTAGTTAAAAAGTTACAGCAGTGATCCAGGAAAGAGATGGTGGGGCCTTCGACTGATGGTAGCCATGATGGATACTTCTGGAAGGTGGGGTTTGCTAAATTAAATTTGGCCTGAATCTGTTCCGTATTTTGAGACACACCTTTATAGTAACCTGCTCTCATGATACTAAACCACTTCAGCAGCAGCTAACTCACCCCCCCTTTTTTTTTTTAATTTTTTGACAGGCAGAGTGGACAGTGAGAGAGAGAGACAGAGAGAAAGGTCTTCCTTTGCCGTTGGTTCACCCTCCAATGGCCGCTGCGACTGGCGCGCTGCGGCCAGCGCACCGCACTGATCCGATGGCAGGAGCCAGGTGCTTCTCCTGGTCTCCCATGGGGTGCAGGGCCCAAGGTCTTGGGCCATCCTCCACTGCACTCCCTGGCCACAGCAGAGAGCTGGCCTGGAAGAGGGGCAACCGGGACAGAATCCGGTGCCCCGACCGGGACTAGAACCTGGTGTGCTGGCGCTGCAAGGTGGAGGATTAGCCTAGTGAGCCATGGCGCCGGCCCCACCCCCCCCCCCTTAATAATGTGATCACCTCTTAAAAGTCTACCCCCCAACACCATTACACTGGGGACCAATTGCAACCTGTGTTTTAGAAGGGACAAAGCACATCCAAACTCTCTCAAGTGTCCAAAAGGAGATGGCTAGTGGGCAGTTGGATGGATAAGTCTGGGGTTTGGGGAGAGACCAGAGCTTGGGAAACAAAATTTCTCAAGGCTCAAGGAAAAATATGAGTCACGACATAGAGATGATATCTAAAGGCACATGATCATCCAAGAAGTGAATGTTAACACAGCAGAGGAGACTGCAGTCTGGTGTCTCTCCTGTGCTTCAAAGGAGGGAAGATGAGGAAGCACTAGCAAAGAATTCCGAAAGGGAATTTTCAGGGAAGTAGAAGGGGGCCCAGGAGAGACTGGTGCCCTGGCTGCTGGCATTCATACCCACATCTGACCTCAAAAACCACATTCTCCCCATTCTGCTGCCCAGCACCTACGTCAACACCCACTGGGAAGACTCGTATTCATGTCTGTCTCCCTCTGTTAGACCAGGGACTCCTTTGTCCACCGAGATCTCATATGGTTTCTGGCGTTTAATAACCATAACCAATGTGTATTGAGTACAGAGGAATTTTTTTAAACCGAAAAAGAATAATCTGGCATTTTTACAGATGAATTGAAAATGAAATGTGTTTTTTTTTTTTAAACTCAGTCTCTTAGGGTTGCGGTACAGAATAAAGGAGGGTGATGGTGGTAATGGGAGATGGTAAAGGGGGACCTCTGAGTGTGGTTTGGCCTATGTTCCCTGGGGTCTAACTCTGGCCCTGAGTGTTGGCAGGAAGTAAGATGACAACTGCCATCCCTGTGTGCTGTCAAGCTGTGTACAGGGTGGAATCTCCACCAGAAAGCTGAGGGTGCTCCCACTGGCCCCGACACTTGCTGAGGTGGCCCCAGGCCAAGTGCTCAGCTCTGAATCTGCATAAAGCAGAGTGCCTGTGGGATCCACCCTCCATATTGCTACACTGTGGTGTGGCTGGCCCACTGCTTCATTATTGATCAAGCAGGGCTCTATGGAGAACTACCTTGAGATGAGCCACATCTTGAAGGACTCCTTTGGCAAGGTCAGGCAGCTATGACTCAAGCCAGAGAAATAAACCTTGGGCTTATTCCGGGACCAGAGGCTGAAAGACTTTCTCTCTGCCTGTGCTGGGCCAGGAACTCCGTGTAGCTACAACCCCACACTATAACACACTCATCACTGTGATCAGAGCAGACCACACACACTCCTCCCAAGATCACACTTGCTCTGTGGGCTGATCCTCACTGGCAGCTCCTGGGTTAACATGGAACACTTCAGCCACTTGAGTAGTTGCAAACTTGGAGGTGTTGGGTGAAGTATAGCCGACAGCCATGCTCAGCCGCAAGGGACTGCTGCATGGACTTGGGGGCAGTCGTGTTCCGACCTTGTCCTCTTTCTAAGAAAGGCCTACTTAGAAACAAAGAGAAGCAGGAGTCTCCACCAGCATTTCACACACTTCACTCCGTTTCATCCACATGATTTAGACCTACATTGTAAATGCTC